TTGAATAAAATTGAAAGAAATACACTTTTACATAATTTTGCTCTATACAAGTGTAATTCAATGATAATCTAAATAAGCGGTATCAGCAATCTGACCCATACTTTCTCCCATTAGCTCGTCAACAACTCCTCTCATGGGGTTAGTTAATGTTAGTCAAATTCAATTGAGCAGTTTTTTCCCGATTTATTAGTTTTTCATGGGGGAAATCACAATGGTTGCAATAACTTTTTAACCACAGTTTTCACAGCAGTGAGGGTTGTACCATTTTTTTTAGAACTAATAAGGGTAGAATCAGAATTTCAATAAAAATCGTTTAGGTCGTTTTTGTGAAACCACTATTTTACGGGTTGTTATGGGGAAAGTGCCACTAAAAATCAAAATTTCTAAAAAAAACCGAACTCAAAACTTAACAAGAAAATGTTGATGAAAACGATACTTTCTCTATATAGCCAATGTATAGGAAAAGAAAGTAAAAACTCAACTAAGATTTCAAACATATGAAGTATTTTATTTTTCCACTACACTATGATGTTTTTAGCTGTTATACATACGTTAATTGGTGGCTGAAAGTTACGTATTGCAGTCCATGCCAGCTGTCATCGTCATTTGGGGACCAAGCAGGTTTTTACATCCCTAGGGCCGCAAAATCAGCTGTCCGCTTACTTTCTTAAAACATAAATGCATATTAAATACACAATCAGTATACATAGCATTGCAATAGAGTTGTTTTATTGTCACCATTTCCTAGCAACTATTTATTATTATTTTTACTGATTCCTTAAATTATTCCTTCACATAACTTGTAGCTGTGTTGACTACATTATTATTGTGGTAAATAGTGGTAATAGGGTATAGTGTGGTGAAAAATAGCGTTCGTACCACGGACCGAAATGGTTTTGCAGCTCTCGGTCGTTTTAAGTTCTCAACTTCGTCTCAAACTTAAAAACTGTCCCGAGCCGGCAAAACCTAATTTTCGGCCCAAGGTACGAAATATACTATTTTTTTATATTTTCGTATTGACGGTAATTTGCATAGTAATAAAAAAAACACTCTGGTATTCAACTACAGAAGTCATAGATTCAATATTGACACCCAGGGGGTATTTGTTGACAAATCGGTAAACATGTTTTGACTTGCCCATTACCAATCTTCAGTCAACATCACGATCATAACCACGTGTTCAAACCGGCAAAACACGGCGTAATGACTCGACACGGGAATGTGTGATTAACCATTTCACCTATCATTTACGGTTTCCTTCACTAATTGGATAAACGGCAAGTTTTCACAACGTTTCAGCCACTTTAATGGTGGAATATGTAGGAAACAACTAGAGAACATGATTTAGAACAACTGATTCAAGTATTTGACAACTTTACCATAAGTTAAAGGAGGCATTGGATTTTGACTTTTACCATTGTAAAATCAAGTGAATGTTTTAAATAATCGTGTTTAAGGGTAAGCTTGGATTTGCATTAAATCTCCAGTGTGTCTCATTAATTTGGTAATCAAATGCATTTTAATTTGTTGTTTTAATGCTCGAGGACTAGGTAATTCACAACACATGCCATTTATTTATAGTAGACCTTCGTGTAGTAGGGTATACAGTATGTTTAATTTTAATTGTTTACAGGCCAAAATATTTAAAAATAGATACCTAGTTTATTTGATCAAAATAGTAAATTAAAATAATGTAAATATAAATACTCTGTATTTAAACATATCTTACTGTTTTCTTTGACTGATTCACATATATGATCAATCTATATGGAAAAATATTTTGTCATGTTTCATTTGTGAGAGTGGAATCATTTCAGAGTGGAATTTGACAATTTAACGAATTCATTCAGTTTAAACAACTTTTGTAAAATATTGTCATTTATTATTGCGAACAAATGTGGCATTAGCCATTTATCTTTGAAAAATAAAGCACACAAATAAAGATACGAATTAATAAAATTAATGAAAAATAATTTTAATGGAGTTTTAGAACAAATTAACGGTGCTACCTTAAGGCAAAGTACACCCCATCAGAGGATCACCGGTTCGATCCTAAAAAAAGCTAATAGCTTTTTAATTGTTCGAATCTTGACCAAGCTATACTTGGTATTAAGGTTTTTTTAAATAAATTTTTTTGTTAAGAAACGCCGATTTTAGACAGTATCAAGGCTATACAGGGAATTTCACTAACTTGTACACTCATACTTATTATTTTATATTTTTTTGTTTAAACGTCTAGTTGCGTCCTAATCCTATTGTAACAAAGCATTATTCCAAATTTAATTAAAGTAACAACATGTTTACACTTATACAATATACCCAACAATCGGTGAATCAATCGTTTAACACATAGTTTAACAACAATGTATCTGCTAAGGACGAGTTTACAGCTAGAGAATGCTCCATTCCAGAATAGTCTTACTCATTCCTGTTTCCATCGCATTACGTACCACTGTCAAGGACATTCTACGCTTCAACGCCTCGTCCAATCGTGAAACGCCTTCGCCCTGTCCTTAACTCGTCAGGAGAGTGTAATACTTAACAAACATCAAGTGTTAAATTCTCTGGTAAATCATGTTTTCATCATGTACTGTCCAGAAAGCGGCCATTTTTAGTTCTCTAAATCATGGACATAATCATCGTTTTAGAGCAACTTCAAATAGGGAATAAATAAAACATATGGTAAATCTTTAGGTTCGCTAACCTCAGAATTACATTAGTACCACGAATACTAGAAAAATACCGGTATGGATCATACACATAAACAAATGACGTTGTTGGCCCGACGATTTTGATAAAACTTTTTTATGTTTTAATCCTTTATATTCTTAACAAAATGGTACAAATCCCATTTCTGTAAAAATTACGGTTCAAAAGTTATTGTAATTTATGTCATTTTCCCATAAAACCCCTATAAAATAACAAAAAAATCGGATTTTCCCAAAAATGGCCCGAACAATTTTGATAAAAATGTTTTATGTTATAGTCCTTTAAATTCTGAACAAAATTGTACAAATCGCATTTGCGTATATTTACTTTCACCGCTTGCACATGATAAAGGTTGTTGACAAACTTATGGGAGAAAGTATGTGTCAGAATGCTGATACCGTTTATTTTTGCTAATACATGAATTAATTATACATGAAAACTATAATTCACACGAATTTGTGCTTTAAGTTGGTAATAATAGGCTACTGTATTTATGTTCTACCAACACTGTTAGAGGCTTAATTAAAATATGTTTACGCTTATTCTTAAACTTAAACATTTGTTTTACAATTACAAATAGGAAACATTCCTTGAAGTAAAATTTTGTTTACAGCTTCAACGAAAAATGTTATCTTTATATAATATTTTGAAAAGGGATTAAGTCTATAGACTTTATAGTTTTTTCAGCCATTAATCCATTTAAAAGTGACAATTTTTCACAAAAAGGTAATAACCTTTATAATATATAATATTTTTAACAATATTATAAACTATATAGATTCTATTTAGCTTTTAATACTTTTCAATTAAAATTATTAAAAGGATAATATGTAAAATTAAACACAACAATCTCCCATCCTTGAATGAGTTCGTGATCTCTAATGATTTTATTCAACTGTGTACTCGGTTTCTTCCTTGACCTTGGAAACAGTAGATATTTGTGAAGGTTTCAGGGATGATGGGAAGAATTTGTAGGTCTTTTGTTAACTCGAAAGAGATTAATTGAACAATCAATTTTGAAACAATAAAATATAAGATATGTTGGTATGTTTTTTTACGGAACGGGTTGAGTTTGTCGTATAGGCCAACCTTATGAAATTTTGACGAAACTGTTTAACTGTATCCAATAGCATCAAATTGTCAAATCCAGATGAAGACTATAGGTAGTTCCCTTACAAAATCTTACATAGGTTTGTTACCATTACGTTTCAGTTATGGAATGCAGTTTAAAATTGACGAAAACATTTCGTTAAACTTTGTCCAGTATGATTAAATTTGGGGGGATGAATAAATATAATTTCAAGTAAGCAAGTTCTTGATAGGTTTTAATCGTCAAGTTTAAATGGGTGGTAAACTAAAAAGGTAGTCAAATGCTTCGGACATTATACGTTTTATTTCAACCACATTAATTAAATAATTACAGTACAATACTTAAAAACCATACAAAATTCAGCTAGTAATTTCTTTTACGTAAAAGCAATATGGCATTGTTGTTATGGCATATATTTCTAATCACAATTCAAGAAAATCAAAACAAACAAATAACTCAGCTGATAAAAATACAAATAATATGATCTATTTAAAGACAGTACAAACTTTGACTATCCAAATCCAAGTCAGTCAATGGTACAACCGTAGATAACACATACTCCCCTTAGTATAATTCTCATCCTTATGGAACAGCTGAAGTCAATTTTATTGTAAGTTCCGTCCGTTGCACTGCAGAGGTTTTGTTTACAAAATGTTTCTTTATATTTCAGTCGGATAAAACCTCATTAATTAATCAAAACTATATAATAATAAACAATATCTCGTCTCCTAGTTATATAACCAAACAATAAAGCCCAAATCATGAAATTAACCCTAAAATAATAAAAACGCGATTAGTACACCAGTGGTCAGTGTCACCGGACATGAACTAGACACGAAAAATGAGCTTCAAAATTTACAATGGGATGAGAAGTCTGCTTGCTTTAGTGTAAAGGTAAACCCTTCAAACTTAAACGTTTTTTTTTCAATCGCATCACATTAAATAGCTGTGTAACCGTACAATAAACACCATAAACAAAAATCAGCTGTTACAATAAAAACAATAACACTTGGGCTACATTACGATTACAAATCATCTTCCATTATGGATGACTCATACTTTACTCCAGCACAAATTTACCCAGAACTACAAAATTTTCCCACATCCCCACAATTACTCCCACAGACTCCAGGAACCCCATGGTAGGGTACCACCGTGAGTAACCGTGACGTCACCAGGTAGATAGTACTATCTGAATGGAGGGGTTATAGAAGTGCGTTGAGTGGAGTAGAGTCAGTCGTTGTGTGGACGAACTGCCGAACAGTGCTCTGAGCTAACCGGACACACTAACAGCTGGTGAGTGGAATATTGTTTTTATTTATTTAAGAAAATATTTTAACTGATTTGTTTATAGTTGTGTGTAATATTTGTATATATTTTTAACCTGATGTGGTTTTAAATTGTTTATGAGGATGAAAACTTAATTAGTGGTTGGTTAGGTAAATAACATAGTTTTTTTATAAGTATCCAATTATTTAAAAGATTTTACAGATTTTAATAGTTTTTGTATTGTAACTAATTTTACACAAAATTTAACATAAGAAGGGGAAAACTGATAGAAATTGTAAAATCGTTTGACGTACATAAACAGAATAATTTTTGTAACATAAACAACCATTTGTTACATGTTTTCATAAGTCTTTATTTAAAGGTTGGAATAAATAGAATAATATATTCATAGACTGGTTAAAAATTTGTTTGTAGTAATCTTTTCTTTTAAATAATAAAGCATACATTCATTTAACTTAATAAATTAATTTTTTACACTGTTTTACAATAAACTTAATACAAGGCAAGTATATTAAAAAAGTTAAACACGTTTAAAAATACTGTTAATCTTTCTACAAATAAATTGGCATTGTTTACAGGTTTTGATTAGTAAATTATTTTTAATTTATGTCACGTAATCTTAAACAGAGTACTAACATCATTCAATACATCTAAATAAAAAAATAATAAACAAAAATATTTGTCACAAATACCTTTACTGCACGAGATAAAAATTCATCTTAAAAGCTATAAATGACATAATTTCTACCAGCACTAATTACATTAACTTTCATCTGTAAGACGTTCAGAAGTAATTAAATCCAAAGTTGAAAGTCATTGAACCTAACAATAGGACACCTGCAGATCCAAACAGTAGAAACAGACTATGACAGTTGGCAAACATGACTAGAAAGAGAGGGAGCGAACAGCTGTAACTAATACTCTCCTAACTTTTGTCTGGCAACAGATTAACATACAAAAGGCATTGCTTAGAATATGTTGTAATAGTATTGTTTTTATTAAAGCTTTATATTTACCAATTTCGTGTTCATAAAATGTATAAAACATATTTTATACTCTAATGATTCAACATAAATTGTAAGGATTAAAATGTTTTTTGATTGGTAGTTTAATTTAAATATTGATATTTTTAAAACTTGTTGTATTTACGTAATAGTATTTATTATAATCAAATTTAGTAAATTCCTTTTTAACTGTAACCACATTTGGTCGTCGACGTACCTACCATGACCATTGTTAGATATATGCCTAAACATACTGATTTATTCTGTATCACGATAAAAGGTTTTGATTTGACTATTCATAACAGAATATTGCTTTTGTGTTGATAAGCACTTTCAATTATGATAGTTAAACATATGGCAGCTTATATCAGCCATATGTTGTGTAAAAATTTATGTGTGTGAGTAAGCTGGTTTTTTTAGATTCACAAAAAAATATAACATCAATAAATACAAAATTGGATGACAGAAAAATTTGTCCTTTTCAATCCTAATGTAGCTATGTACATTCAACACTACTTAATTTGAATTCTGATTTGTAGCTCATACGCTCAAAGAATATGTAACAATTATTTTCCAGGATCTTACTCTTTGGAAAACATTGTTTAACGACTCCAAACGCAACAAAATAACAAAACCTTTCTTAAATCCAAACACAATCACTTACAAAAAACCCTGTGTAAGATGTCAGAATTTAACTTGCAAATTGTTTTAATCACCTATTGTCTGTTGAGTCAGTTTCGCGAATTAGCATCGCCATGGAGTAAGCAAACACGAGTCAATTACATAGAGTATAAACGTTCGATACCTCTAGGCTAGACAGATATGTGATTGTAGTGGCCTTGGCCTTAACCAAGTGTCGGCACGTAGTGGTAGGCCTTAGGCCTAGAATTAAATGGTCCTCAGGAGATGTCTGTTAAGTTGATGGAAGAGAGAGAATGAGAGAATTAATTGTAGTGGCGCACGCTATGGTTGGATTAAGAGTATTGTTGACGTTGAAAGAGAAAAATAATTTAGATGAAACGAGAGCTCGCCCAGTGGTCGAAAAATCGACCAAAAGTACCGTATGTAATATACAGAATTCTCTATTTTCACCCCACGATGTAAATAAAACATGTGATTGGAATTTCTTACATTTGTTTTGATTTTCTGTTTATATTTTGTTGTTATTTCGTCACCAACATGGCAAACCCATAAGACCTATGACAAATTAAAAATAGATTGTTTTAAATCCATTTTTTGTCCTTATTTTTGAGCCTATTTTAACTTATGCTGCACATTTACAGGAAAATATCTTTCATTTGGTACCAACCGCGTGTAATTCGGTGTTGTAGTATGGTCAAGCTAGCTGTCATCAATTTTGCAAAATTCTTTTAGCATATAAGATTATGTTTAAGTTATAGCTTTTGTTTACATTTTATACTATTTCTTATTAGATTTTATTATTCGTTTTAACTAGAGACGGAATCATAGATAGAAAAACAGTATTAGCTTTTCTTTAATCAATATTCAAGAAATTAGTTTGGTGTTTCAATATTTTTAATTGTCGTCCTTGAATTAAATATTAGATCTAAACCAGTAAACAATTAGTTCCAATTTTTTCAGCTTTTGGTTGTTCTGAAGTAGTTTTGAAACAGTACATCGGTGTTTATAATAGGATTCAGCCACTTTATAATCATAAATATTTACATTGTTAATTGTCATACTAATTTGTTTCGTGAAAAATCCAGTTCAAAAATACTAAACGTATCATATGTTAATTTTTTTTTTTTAAGAAATGTAGAACAGAGGATAAAAATCATACTTTTTCCAAACTGAATTATAGTTAGCAAGTTCAATATCTCTCAGCTGATGATTAAAACCATTACACTAATACTGTTATCTCAAACGTTAACGAATGCCTTCAGGTCAGCTCGATACACACAACTTTCTTTTTAGGTCAAACTAACTTAGACTCTACAATTCTTGAATGGGTAAAATAAAACACTTTTGCCTTTAAACACTTTACCACGAAGTAACGGCAAGTTGTGATAAAGAATATTTTATGATGTTAGGATGTAAAAAATTAGATAAAAATTAGTAACACTATGAGAGAGTTTAAAATTCCCCTCAAAGTACAAAGCATGCTTAAAAAATACACTGAAAATACTATCATAAAAAACATGAAATATAGACCGTCAGCCGTGTTGCGATTAGCATAGGTTCTGGCGTCCACCACTGGGAGCACCGTGTACTTGCGGCGTACGTGCTACGTAACTACACGGGACTCCCAGCGGTGGACGCCAGAACATATGCTAATACCAGCACTGCTGACAGCCTATATTTAATTTTTCGTCCCTTCAGTGTACATACTTAACTGGCTACTTAAGTATCCAAGTTCAATATTAAAATTTGAAAAGTTCATCAACACTCAACTTATCCTTTTAACCAAATCTATTTTTAGTAGCTTTAAAGAACACTAACCAATCATTCTAAGCTGTATTCCTATTTCAAGATCACTCATGGTGGACGAAACAAATATAAATATAATGTAATCCGAGAAAAGCTTGTCACAAACTTGTATTGGACGCGGTTTCTTAAAGCATGTTATTGTTTTGTTGCAAGTGCCAACAGACGAATGTTTGGGGGGGGGTGGGGGGGGGGGTTATGGTTTGTTGGTATTTTGGCTCACTGATGTAAGAAGTGTGTTTTCTAATGTTGCCATGTGTTGTTTGTTAAGTACAGTGTCCAAAACAAATATCAACCTCTGTATTATTATCGTTATTCGCAATCGCCATTTTGTTTAGAAAGTTTCCCAACTTGTGTTTAGGATTTCGTAAACAAATATTAGGTATCTGGTTGATTACGGTTTTAAATAATCATGTGAGATTAATACTGGAGGGTAATCGATTATGTTATGTATTTGATTACTGAAATTTTGAGTTATGATGCCAGCGCTAAATCAGATGTTTTAAGTTTCTGTTCAGCAACAAGGATTAAACATAACTTAGATGTATCGTAATCTTTATGGATTAGCTACTTTGAAGCTAATACGATGGAACAAATTTATTTTTCTACTCTATAACCGGAGGATGGTAATATTGTGCTTTTTGGTGGTTTAAAACTGCGCCACGAGCTCTCATTCTTCTTATTCTTCTTCGACCTAACTATGATCAAGGAGCTATCCTTTATCAGATATTTTCAAAAACTGTCCTGGTTAGATATAAATTAGAGAAATATTTTGTTGCCTTTATTGCGCTCTAGATTTACTACCCATCAATCAAACATAAAAAACTTTAAATTTTGAAGAAAATCTTACAATTGCCATATCTAAAGCCAATGCCTTTAATCTAGGTCATTCTACATATCTATGCAATCTTCACCTCATACTTTACTTTTCTTCAAAAATACCATTAATATATTTGCTGCTTATTAACAATACAGATTAATTCTTAAGCGTGTTAGTTAGTTACCATAAGGACAAAGCAATCTTTTTCAAGCAAGTGTGTAATGCAAAAATTAAAAACACAAGAGCAAATTAACTACTTTATTACTGTAGGACTTTCTCCTAGAAGTAGAGTAACTCTACTTCCTCAGTTTTGCGACATAAAGCTACAACCCCGTGAAATTCACTCTCAGAAGATAAGGAAGTAGCAAATTATACCGGAATTGTGTAACTTAAACGCCAAAAGCATTGTTAACTGCAGAAGATTACCTAATGGGTAATGTTTGAAGGTTTCATACTCTAAGGTCAACGCGGTCACGAGCTTGATGAGGCAAATGAGTGTCTAAAAATACGTAGCATTGTTTACAGTAAATACGGTACATAATGTAGGAAGGAAAAGAAGGTTAGTTCTAACTATGTCATGTTTGATATAAAATATAATTTTGTCACGATTACGCTATGAGGGAGATGAAGTGTTGATTTAAGTTATTTTGAATAATTTACTTACAACAAGTTTTCGCAAATGTTTACACGCACAAACCAAGATGTGAGACATAGAATTATGTCCCTTTAGAATTATT